TAACCGTTAACCGTAACCGTTAACCGTAACCGTAACCGTAACCGACCGACGACACGACGACGACGACCCACACGACACACACACACACACACACACACACACACACACACACACACACACACACACACACACACACACACACACACACACACACACACACACACACACACACACACACACACACACACACACATACACACACACACACACACACAGTCATACAAAGGAGCGCGTATACACATAGGCCCTACACACTTATTTATATATTTATTTATTATGACCGCAAAAGCCAATCACTGTGCTGTATATATTTGTGGGCCTTCGTAAACTCTCCGTTTAATAGAGTAGAATAACGGTTTAAAGCCAGGAGGCATGCCAGGTTGGCAATATATAAACACATTTTGTTTAGCTGGCGTTGTTAGGCGGCCCGTGTCAATATTATTTTTTCGCATTTATTTATTCATAAACACCGCACGTGACGGCTTGCTGTATGACCGTCACGGCGTGGAAATGCAAGTAATAAAACTAATTGTCATACCTGATAAATTCACTGTCGCGCCATGCAAGCGCTATTGACAATCATCTCGTGCATTTTGTGCAAGAAAACTGAATAATTGTATTTTTAGCCTATGGCGTATAAATGGCGGTCGACCCGCAAACATACATTTCCATTATGCGATATATACCATCAGTTGGTATAATAACCTGCATTACAACGCGAACGTCTGGCGAGTGCTGCGTTTTGCATCGCCATTTTTATTTCATATTATATAATTTAATTTTAAACGCCGAGTCAAATATAAATCGCGCAGCGTTACTGCGCTGTCTGCGCAATGCTATGTCAAGAAGCTTTGACGTGGCACGGCGCGAGTCCCGTGACAGCCAAGGAGCTAAATATAACAAGGAGAGGAAGCGCCGCTATATCTGGCCCAAATTTGGGTGGTCTGCACAGCCGTTTCAGCTGATAATGGTCCATAGATGGCGTCCTTGAGGCGAAAAGCGCACAGCCAATCCGCTTCCTCTCCTTGTTATATTTAGCCAGAGCATATAAATGCATATAAATTATAAGAGCATATAAATGCATGCTCTGATTTAGCTTCTTGATGACAGCCGCTCGTGCACGCGCGCACGCGAGCACCATTTTTGCCGCGCTTTGCGCCCAAAATCGGTAATGGCGTTTTTGGTCGTCTGCCTCGCGTTTGATTGCGCGCCAGCGTTAGGTTCCCGCGACGCATATGTTACGTTCGCCGTCTGCCACGGCCGACAGGTAGCATACCCGCAGATCAGCTCCGAAGGAAGAGTGGGGTTGAGGTGAATAGAGAACAGAGTACGTGCATTTTATTTCTATGCCTCAAGCGAAATAAAAAGGCGCGTGTATTGATCGTTTTGTTTTCTTATCGAAGTTATTTGAATAAATAGTTAATGTGAAGTGTGTTATTATAGAAAGACTTCTTGATTCTATTCGGTATGAATTGTCGGCTCTGTCCGTGTGCAATCGTGTGGCGGCCCGTAAAAACATAGGCGAAGCATACTTTTCAGCGTAAAAACACATGCAACAACATAGACGAGCTTTCCGTCTGTGCCGGCTGTCAACCCGTGTGTTCGATCGTAGTGACATCTAACGAGCATGAACGTAAACGGAATGTATTCACCCAATCAGGATGCTCATCTAGAAATCGGTTGTAGAATGTTTTACTGGGGACTGAACGATGTTGTCGCACGTGACAGCTACTGTATCTAAAAATAAACGTATAGAATATCGCAACATCAATTTTTCATGATACAGGCATATAGGTATGTATTAGACCATACTCGTGCATCAGGTTCTGTGATTGTCTCAAATGGGGCGCGCGTGAGAGAGAGAGAGAGAGAGCTCAGTGTGCGTGTGTGTGCGTGTGCGTGTGCGTGCGTCTGAATGTGTATATGTGATTGTGTGTGTGCGTATGTGCGGTGCGCGCACGTGTGGGTGTGTGTGTGTGTGTGTGTGTGTGTGTGTGTGTGTGTGTG